ACAAATTGAGAGAACGGTTATACCTTGCTATGTTTTTATCATGATAAAATTCAAATAAACTTCTCAAACATGAGTTCCTTATTTCGTCACAGGTTTTATTGATGTGAAAGAATTTTTGTGTTCAGCACTCGGGCAAAATTTGCTGATTAGCTCAAGCAACATCTTTGACAGCATTCGTTGGTTTCAGATAATCAGTTCTTTTGCCCAAGTGCCAGAACACTTGCTCAATTTGGTGAATACCCCTATAGGAATATAGGAGCAGCTTTTAAAATCTGTACATGCGTAACAAAGTGAGGAAAAAAAACGTTAAAAGTGAAAGTAAGCAAGTACAAAAGTGGAAAAAACTATAGCGGTAGTGTTATCGATAACTATAAAAATACCGATAACAAATCCAATATCAATAACAATAGCTATAAAAATCGAAAACTCTAAAGCTGAAAAATTAATGATTTATCGATTCTTCACTGTTATCCTTCTTGTTTTTATCGATACTTTTTGTTATCGCTTTCATTTTCACCGCATAGTATTATCGAATTTTACTAATCGGTGCTGAGTTTACTCTCAATTTCTTCCAAATATAATAAAATCGAAAACAATACCGATAACGATACTGTTAAGGATTTATCGATACTTTTTTGTTGTAATTGTTATCGATAAATTTTGTTATCGCTCATATTCTTAACGCTATTTATTTCACTATTCAAATTTACTTATCCAATATAGAATTTACTATCTGTTTCTTCCAAATGTTTCTAATAATATCGATAACGATAACAAATCCAATATGGATACCAGTAACGAGAACGATAACAGAAATATACAACTGTAAAAATAATCAATGAATTACAATTACTTATCGATATTTTATTGTTATCGTTATCATTGTTATCGAACTTTTTGTTATTGCTATTACAATACCGATAACAATAACAGAAAGAGACAACTGTAAAATTAATAATCAATAAATTACAATACTTTCTCGATATATTATTGTTATCGATATGTTTTGTTATCGCGCATTATTTTGGCTGCTATCTTTTGTATCCTATACAATGTTTATCGCATTTTACTAATGAGCTGCAGCGTTCAATATCCGTTTCTTCCAAAGCCATTTATGTATGTATGTATATAAATAGGTAGATGAGCAACCTTTTTCACATCAAAGTGGCCTCAGTGGTAAACATACTCTACTTTTCTCTGATTCATTTGTTTCATATACATATCGAGCCCTAACCGCCAAAATAACGTAAGCGAAATTTTTTCAAAATTTTCTTTTCGATGCAGAAATGCATCTAGATGCTCTAGAAATATTTCTGCATCGAAAAGAAAATTTTGAAAAAAAATGTCGTTTACGTTATTTTGGCGGTTAGGGCTCGATATATTACCTGTGTTGTAGCATTGTGCTTTCCCTGCAATCGCTCAGAATCCTTGCCCAGCGCCAATTCGATGGCTTTATTATAGAAATCCGGAATACCAATGATTGTGGCGTATTCTTTGTCCAATTGCTTACCAATTATGCGTTCTTCAGCCTTGAATATTATTTTAACAATTTATTTTAATAAAAAAAAACTTAGAAAAATTACTTAATAACTTACCTTGCGCACACTGGGCAACACCCATGGTTTACCGTTGTCATCACGATATGCGCCTACACCCAAGTTGATTTTTTTCGGATTTGAATCGCGCTTGAACGCCTCGGTTACACCCAAAATAGCATCAGGTGGTCCCATTTGTACATTGGCGAACCATGATCTACAGGGGAGAAAAAAAGTGTAATTTTCTTTATTAGGTAATTCTGAATGTTAGTAAAAATAGTTATAAAAATCAAGAATTTAATTTTAGCTTAGGTTAGTGAGACAGCTTCGGGGAGACCATTAAGTTCTATAGCGTCGCTAGAAAGAGGGCAACCAAAACATACAACTTATATCTAGAAACCAGGACCAAAAGTGAAATAATTTGTCATAACCTATTGTGACAGTGCTTCCAGATTCTGCAAAAATCCTACTCAAAGAACACTTTTCCCTAGGGTACAAAGGGCTGGACACGCAAAGAGGGTGTGCTGCAAAGTCTCCACGCCTGCGTTCGTTCCGTTTCTCCTGCCCACTTTTTTTCACTGGTCAGAGCCAACTTAAAGGCATGTGAAGCCTAACACTGTCCTCTTAGTACACTCGCTACGTGCGTAGTAGCCTGGTGTCCTCCCTCTTGAGAGGGAAAAATAAACTATGTCAGCTTGCTATCGTACATTCGGCAAATAATCCGACACAACCTTCAGCTATGGGTTTTGTTTCACAATTTCTCTTCCTGTCTAGTTTTCTTGCTCCCACCTTTTAATTGCCTGTAGAGAGATCCGCAAAATTTTATTGGCACAGTTTCCGAATGGACGCCAACTTTAGTAATTCTGTCGGTCACATCGTTGCCAGTAACTGTCTTGCTGTCTTATAATTGCTTGTTTAATTTAATTTTCTTACATTTGCTAGGTTTTGTTGTTTTAAAAAAAAACTATTTTTTTATTTCATCTTATTTTTAGAAACTTATTTTATTTTATTTTTTATTTAACTTTCTTTTAATTTTTAGTTTTTATTCTTTTAATAAGATCTTTTTAATTTAATTTAATTTTTAGAATTTTACTGTTTTTGTTTAATTTTCTTTTAGGTTTTGAAAAAAAAAATTGTACATAAATATAGTTTTTATTTACATACATTTTTAGAAAATTTATTACTAAAAGACGTTAGCAGATCTTTATTTTAAAACTTTCGAAAGACAGAAAGAAGGATTCAAGATAGTTCTCGGAATTGACCATTGTCTTACGAAAGACTTTAAGGTTTTGTCTTCCCCCTTGCCCTTCCTTAAGTAGCAAGCCTGCGTGTAGGCATCGGGGATTGTTTTAGACGCGTAATCGGTCATCCCTTTCGGGCCATTTAAGTATGTATCAGACCTGAGCTCAACAAACTCTTTGTAAAGGGTTCAGGTTGTTATTTCTTTTCTTCTTTTTTTTCTGAAATTTGATGAGATCAGTTATCAGTTTTAAACTAAAAATATGAATTTGATTGTTATACAGTGAAACCTTGATATAACGAAGTTGAAATGTAACTTTTGGGTCATAAGTATAATTGGATTTTTTTCTAACGGGGCTCTAACCGTCAACATATTCAGCATTTGCAATGTAGATACTTTTAAGTTGACACTTCGTTATAAAGAGGCTGTAACTAACGGGACTCTATGGAGTATTTTTGTATGAAAATTTCAAAACAACGAGTTTTTTTCGGGGGGAGTCGGCTAAAATTTTATTATTTTGAGTTTTTGCTTTAGCAACGTTCGTTATATCGAGGTTCCACTGGATTGAATTTCGATTTTACTATAACTTTGAAACTTTATCTAGTGAATCTTTCGATTATGTTTAGATTTCACTTTCTCGGTTATAACAACGTAACCACGACAGTCGGATCTAAGTAACCGGAACAAGTATTTATGGCTGACTAAGGTCTGGTCACTCCTCCTACATCATTCGCCAAAAACTCGTTGTGGAACTTGTGTGCTGTTACAACAACGACATGGACGAAATGAGATTTAAAAATAAATATCAAATTTGATAAAAATAAATAAAAGTCCCAAAAAACGGTCAAACACGATCTGAAGCCGAAATCATAACGTACAAATTTTTAAATATAATAGTGCAAGTACAAGTGGCGTCTACTGCTCTCATTGTACTGATAATAAAAATGATAATTTTATAAAATCTACTTATGTTATTCTTTTTATTTATTTCAATTTATTTATGCGAATGTTAGAACTGTATGCAACTTTTTTATTGCATCAGTAAACATATTTGTATTTATTGTTTTAGAAAACTAAACTCATTAAAATAAGATTTAAATAACATATAATTTTCATTTATTAAAAACTGGCTACACATTATCACGAGCTGATATGTGTGTATTTATTGTTTTTTAAACTTTTTGCAAGGAACTATATACATATGTATGTGTTTACAAAATTGTATATTTTTCCCTGCGTCACATTACCGCAATGTTTAGTGGTTTTGTATCAGCGATAGCAATTATTTACATACATTAAAATATTTACTCAGCATTGAGTACCCCATATACATACTTATATGTATGTCTGTTTGTACATATTTTAAGCTAATTTAAAAATACTAGACATACAACAGTAGAATATATTCAGCTGTTTATTAAATTAAATTTAATAACAAAGTTGGGATAGATTTTTCAAATTGTCATTAAATGTATTTAAACTGACGTCAACAACAATTAGTTTGCACATTCATATACATATGTACATACCTATATACATATGTATGTTTTCTTATAATAAAAAATAATAATTAAATGATTTTTGAGTTTTGAAATTGATAAGCCCACTATGCCATTTTAAAACACATTAAACTGTATAAATTATACATATGTGCAAATGTAAATTATTCATTGTCATGGGCATAATTAAACCGTTGGTTATCGCTTATGTTAGCTGGACGGATGACGTTCTGCCGCAACAACAACGTTCTCTAATACGCTGGGCTATTTAAAAATAGAATTCTCTAACAACGGACTCTTGCATGCATACATACTTATCTGTACCGTTCAATCAAACTAGATTAAATGACTTTAGAAGGTTTGACTTTGAATTAAAAAATAATTAGTTTCTCTTGAAAAGGTTTAGGTTTTTATTAAGCTTCTATTAAAAGGGCATCTTGAGCTACTCCAATAGCTGGTTAATTATACGTCCAAATATTGTTTGCGAACCCAATGAAATGATGCTTTAAAGGGAAAATGGCATATCCCGACTTGTATGTATGTATTTATTTACATACATATGTATGTACATATGTGCAAACATGCTACATAGTACATACATATTTATGTACATAATAAGTATGCAAAAGTGAGAAATGAAGCGAAGCATTTTTTTCGAAAATTAAGAAAAATATTGGCGTTGTGATGATTGTTTTTCTAAGTCATAGCAGGTCAAATAAATTTTTGGCATTTTTGTCCAAGCAAATGATGCATGTACAAAAAAAGCAAAAATTTCCCTGTAGAAGAGGAGGGTTTTAAAAGCACTTTCGTCGTCGTACGTGATCACACCAGCGTTATCTCGAAATATCTGATTGCAATGCTTAATAAAATAATAGTAGCAATTTCATTTTCTTCAGGCACTTGAACCGTTTTATTTGTTTTTTTTTTGTTTTTTTTTTTGCAATGTGTAATGCAAAACAATCGCGAGTGCACAATATCCATATTTATATAAAATCGCAATGTTCACCACTTCGATTGGCCTACAGGTTATGTGAACATATTTAGAAATAAAAACTTTAAAAACCCGCTTCACTATAAAAAGCATCGACTTTAAAATTTGTAATCCATTGAAGTGTATGCTGGGTGTTTTTAGATAAAAAATATCTTATCTTGCTAATTATGAAGGAAACCTGTGATGCTTAGATACATATAATGGACACGGACCCTTAATAGTACTTGAACAATTACTTTTTGCTGTGTAAAAGCCAAAGTTGTTGTAAATCACAATTTCTGTCTTTAAAGCTTAAAAAATTAAATTAGTATACATACATACACACATAATAAGGTACTAAATTCAAGTTCAAAATGATAATATATTAATGACACTAAACACGTTACACTTTTGGATAATGAACATTTTTTTCTCTAGCAGTGGGGGACAACCCTAATAGTGTATGTACATATTGCAACCTAAATCAAAAACAGGCACATCTCAAAATATCCCAAATGTTCAGGAGAGGCAAAAAACTATTGATGCTACGTAAACAAAACTTAAACGGTGTCAAGAATATTCTTTCGGTAAAATAAGAAATTTGTGGCGGACGTTAGAGATATGGTCAGGAAACTGTTTTATAGTAAAAAATCAAAACTGAAAATTTTTGAGTTGTGACTGTTTTTGATTTAATGTGCGTTATGTATGCTCAAGTACATACTGGGATGGCACTTAAAACAATTGGCTTGTTTTTTCAAGTGCTTTTCCTTACGGTTTTAATTTATTACCTAATATACTTATGCCATGCTTAATAATACCCACATTTAAACCACTTGAAATGGCTTGACATAAGCAACCGTAACACCCCCAAGTATTTCTTTTTCATAATACAGGCAAATTGTAGGGCATAAAATGTATTCGTTGGTATGTAGTTTTATGTACAAACAAGCATGCACACCCACATGAATTATGTACATAAAAATTTATTCGCAAAATGTAAACTCATCGAGGGCTCACATGCTTGAATTGATCGAACGTCACCGGATATATGTACATGCATACATATGCGTGTACATACATATGTATGTGGTACAAATGCACATATGTGTACATAGTATATAGGCTCATGCTCGGTATCAATACCCCTCGTATTGACGAATTGATGTGCAGCCCGGTTAAAATACTAATTATAAAAACAAAATTATGATAGCAATTTGAATGTCAAATTGTATCTACTGAAAAGTAAATTAATTAAAAAACCGACTTTACTTATTGACTCTCCCTCACGCAGGCCATTGAAATTATTCTCCTTATAAAACACAAAATTCTAAATATGTATACATAAGTACGCGTGAAAATGCGAAAATAAGGATGAAAATATACTACTTCCGTGTATGACCTTGTGTAATGACATCTGCTGCAGCGCAATGTTAGGCAGTTAACACCGGCAGCATGGAAATCTCCTACGTCAATTAAAAAAGACTAAACGTACATGGGTGTGTATGCACACATTTGTATGGAGGTATGTACACATGTGAATGTCATCATTAGCATTTTTTAATAGTTCTACGATTTAGTGCTACATTTTTATTACATTCTAAATCCCTAGTTTTACAAGTGGCCCCCATTGCTTACTGTGTGCGTGCGGCATTCACATTTAGTGCTGCTCCAAAAGCACGATTCGCCGACAACAACGTTTTTCCGCTAATATTTGCCATGTCAAGTCTGCACTATGCACTGATTAATTATCAATTTAATATCAACAAATTATCGAATTTATAAAATTTAACTCCTAGGCGGTTCGAGTGTGAGTTGGCCAGCTGAAAAAACACACACGTAGGCAACGGCACAAAATTCAATACTGTATAAATTGCCCAAAGCAGCAAATGCACAATAATCGCGAAATGAGCTAGCCCCACTTTATCGCTAGCAATCAGCTGGGGCCACCCGTTGGGGGCTAATGTGTATGTACATAGGTTGCCACATTCTATTCTTAAATATTTAGAATTTTTCGAATAATTGAAAAAAAAAGAATTGGTATATAATAAATTAAAATTGTTCGATAATTTAGTTTTTAGTTGTTTTGTAAATGTACTTCCGTTAAAACTGTACAAGCATCAACATTTTTAAAGGAAATACGTAATTCCTATAAGACGAAATTAAAAAGCGGAAATTCTGTTAGTGCCAAGATGGCGGATTTATTCATTCACAATTATCGCGATGACAGCAACTTTGTGAATCCTGAGGGAATCAGCTGATTTGTATAGCCCAGCTCGTCAGCTGTGGTTTTTTTATCAAGAATAAATGTTTTTGGTTAAAAATAGTGAATTATAGAAAATTCAACAAAGTATTATACAAAGCCGTACATAACGTCGGACGTACTCAGCCAGCTGACTACCAGGGATTCAAGTATATACCTATTTTAAAGCTCAAGAACTATGGGTGGCGGGGACTTGGTAACTAAACTATTAAACAAAAATTTTAAGTGCAGCAACTCATTAATAACACTTGTTTACAGAATTTAAAGAAGTCGTGGCATCCGCACACCATGAAAAACCAGGAGAAGGTCTGGAAAGCGGAACAAGCAAAGTCCCAAGAAGACAAGAAACTCAAAGACTTACGCAGAGAAATAGAGGAAGAAAAAACACGTGAGGAGCTTAAGCATATCGGTCGTAGTTCTGGCATACTTCCACAAGAAGACAAAAAATTGGAATGGATGTATAAAAGTATGCCAATGATGAAAGTTACCTCTATATCTATATTCATTCAATCACATCTAATTTTTCAGGTAGTACTGATCTTATAAATCGTGAAGAATACCTACTTGGTAGAACCATTGACAAATCTTTTGAAATGCTGCAAGCAGAAGAGCAACGAAAGGATCAAAATATCGTTGGTGTAAAGCAATCTATAAATCATGTTGAACACGAGTGTATACCCTTTTCAATACGTGCATATCGAAATATGGAATCAACGGAGCAAGTTGATTTGCAGCGTAAAGTCATGGAAGATCCTCTAATGCTAATAAGGCAACGCGAAATGGAATCAAGAAAAAAAATTTTGGAAAATCCTGTAAAATTAAAAGAATTACATCGAATACTCAAAAGTGATCAGTTGCTCAAAAAATCTAAAAAGGTAAAAAAGTCCAAGAAACTAAAGAAAAAACACAAAAAGCGTTGTAAATCATCAACGGATGGAGAAACATCTGGTTCCGACTCAGATAGCGATACTGCAAAGGATTTAGATAAAGAGTTAGCTAAAAAATATAAAAAACTGAATAAAGGAGAAGAGTTTTCGGGCTTAAATCTATCGAAATTGTTAGATGCAAAGTTTGAAACTATCACAAAAGAGTTGGATAAAGCAGCAGGAAGTAAGCGTAAGAAAGATCACCGAAATCGCTCAATAAGCAGTGATAGTGACCACCGTAGTAAGAGAAAAAGCCGTTCAAGAGATCGAGGAGGAAGAGAGCGTGAAAATTATCATAACAAAAATTATAGCAAACAGCGAAAATTCAGAAACTCGCGTTCAAGATCCCCGAAGGACTATCATCAACGCCGGCGTTCTGACGCTCGTTCACCTGCAGAACCGCGTAAACGACAATACTCTACTTCACCCTCCATAGAGAAGGAAGTAAGTAAAGCCGCAGGAAGTAGACATGCTACTAAAAATAAGCGTTCAAGTCGTTCAAAAAGTAAGGATCGAAGTGACACTCGTAAAAACAGGAATCGTTCGGGTGATCGGGAAAGAAGAACAAGAGCACAAGATTATAAAAAGTATGAAGGACAACAAAATCAAAGGTCCCGATCGAGATCACCCAAAAACCATAAAAGCCGACGGCGTTCACCAACGCAATCACCCAAAGAATCACGAAGGGGAGGCCGCACAAAATCCCGATCACCACAACGCCGCCCAAGATCAAGGGACCGTAACGAAAATAACTCACGACATGCTCGGTCTAGTGAAAGTAAAAGCGGAAGCTCACAAAATAAGTTAAGCGATGCGGAAAAAGAAGCACGCCTGCGTGAAATGATGGAAAACGCTAGTTGGCGGGAAGAAGACCGCGTCAAAACGGTGCAAAAGCACCGCGATGCAAATGCCCGCGAAGAAGAGCACTACAAAAAGCAGGAATTTGATAAAGAATTCATTAACAAGGAAGTTAAAAAAGCTATTGCCAATCAATCATCCGTTGGGTCACGAATACGTTCAAACTTGAACAATATCCAACGCACCTCTGCCGCTATGAACTCAAATTTTACGAGAAAGTAGATTAGATTGGCATATTCTGATAATTTGGAATTTTTTTGTAATTATAAGCAATGCTTTACATAACAGCAATTTATACGTAATCAAAAGTATAAAGGTTTTAATACTTACTTTTAACATTTCGGCGTTTATAATTAGAAAGTATGCACAGTTTTATAAGGGTTTAGCTATTTTTATTCAACGTCTAAACGATTTTTCGGTTTTGTATTTTCAACAAACAAGATAACTGAGTCTCCTAGCAAACTCTAATTGAATGTGTCTTCATAACAGTAATACATAAGTTTTACTCATTTGCAATATGCATGCAATATGTCTCTTGTGCTCGAAACAACGTAATGTTTAACTTAAGCATTGCTCAAAGCAGCTACACCTGGCAGTGTCTTACCCTCTAACAGCTCCAACGAAGCGCCGCCTCCGGTCGAAACGTGGGATACTTGAGATTCAGTGCCCCACTTGGCGCAGCATGATGCTGTATCACCTCCACCAATATGGAAACAGTACCGGATCCAGTTGCTGAGACTACAGCGTCCATTACGGCTTTTGTACCGTGAGCAAAGTTGGGGAATTCAAAAACACCGGGTGGTCTGCAAGAATACTCTGTGTCAGCAGTTTTTAACACCATAATGTATAAGACATAAGAACTCACCCGTTCCAGACGATGAGTTTTGCACGGGAAATTGGTTCCTTGAACAATTCCCTAGTTTTTGGTCCAACGTCCAGACCCATGTAGCCATCAGGAATGCCTTCCTCGACAGTTGCTTCGCATGTTTTGGCATCTTCAGCAAATTTATCTGCGCATACGAAATCGACTGGTAAATGTAACTGAACATTGTTTTTCTTTGCCTTCGCGACCAAATCATTTACGATCTTTGAACCTTCTTCGTCAAAAAGCGATGCTCCAATCTTCATATTGTTGATTACTTTCAAAAAAGTAAAGGCCATGCCGCCACCAATCACCATCTCATGAACTTTATCCAGTAGATTTGAAATCAATTGGATCTTGTCAGCTACTTTAGCGCCACCCAAAATGGCCAAAAATGGGCGTGGTGGGTTATCTAAAGCCTGTGCAAAGTATTTCAATTCTTTGTTCAACAGAATGCCGGCAGCACGCTTCTCGAAACCTTCGCCCAGCATGGAGCTGTGAGCGCGATGAGCAGTGCCGAACGCGTCGTTTACATAAACATCACCAAGTTTGGCCAGGCTCTGGCGGAATTCCTTGACCTTAGCTGGATCAGCTTTCACTTTTGCACCACTTGCATCAAGACCCTTACCCTCTTCTTCAATGTAAAATCTCAAATTTTCCAGCAAAATTACAGAACCAGCTGCTGGGTCTTTGCATTCAGACTCCACTTCCGGTCCAACACAGTCGGGCAAAAATTTTACATCCTTACCTAGAAGTTTTTTCAACTCTTCAGCTACAGGGGCCAGCGTATATTTTAAATTTTTTTGTCCATCTGGCCGTCCTAAATGCGACATGAGTACCTGTGAAAATATTTGTAGTGAACGCAATTATAAATACATATATGTACATATATCTCAGAAAATGTATGCAAAAGTTTAGTGCTATGACTTACGACCGACTTGGCTTTTGCGTCCAAAGCATGTTTGATACTATCCAAAGCGGCCACAATACGTTGGTTGCTTGTAATTTTCCCCTCTTTGATGGGCACATTGAAGTCCACTCTGAAAATTCAATTTATGCAACTCGCACTCAAATTGTTCTTACAAAAGCGTTTACCTCATCAACACTCGTTTGCCATTTAGGTCCAAACTTTCAATGCTCAATTTATTAAAAGCCATTTTGCCGCCTTTCTTTTTTCCTTTATTATCACAAGACGATAATCTCTGTTGAATAAAATTTCCAAAAAATAATTCTGTCACAAAAGATGTCTGTCTGCGCGAAAGGTTCCTGATGGTTATCGAGAGTAGCCGATTCAATGTCATTACAAGGGCAGATCGCGAATCAAGCAGGGTTGTTATTTGTGCGAACTACTGTCAAAAAAATCAATAAATGCTTCGAAACTAGAATTTTTTTAAAAAGTCAGCTTTATATTTTTTATTAGCAATATTAGCAGTTTACAATGTAAATTTTTGGCATGCTATGACGTATAAATTGTTAAAACTTGAAGTTTTAAACTTCAGTAAAGTAATTTTAATTTGAAGTTACGTGGCATACCCCTACTTGGGCGGAAATTAGTGCTTGCCACTTCGGAAATTAATTAATTAGATTTTTTTTCTAATTGCGCTATTGAGACAGGATATAATTTCAANCGCGATTTTTTTGCGCAGCTTCTAATTAGATTTTTTTTCTAATTGCGCTATTGAGACAGGATATAATTTCAAAGGTAATGTTGCTATGCGGCTCCGGAAACTTAAGAATGTGATTAGGTTCATTTCCAATGAATGAACCAACGACACATCACGCAAGAACAAGAGCATGATTCAACATGAATCATGGAACAAGAGAGTGAAAAAAGTAGATTTTTTTTGGCGGATTTTACGCCATCTTCTTTTGCTGGAAAACGAAAGAAAAGTGAAAAAAGCATAGAAAACAACGAAAACCAAAATTATTGGCAGCCACTTTAAACACACAATTTAGGTGAAATTATTAATTAAAAACCTTTAAAACGTCTTGTCATGTTGAATTAACTTTTCTTTAATTAAAGAAAAGTGTAAAATAGTGGTGCTGTGATGTAAACAAATGCACAGCTAACGAACCCAGTTTGGCAAACATATTATCTGAACCAGTTACGGGAAATGTTTAGTACCACTCACACCGTTTTTTGGGTGGGGGGCGGAGGGGGAGGGGCGGGCCCCCAAAACACCCCCCAATAGAAAGGAGACAGTCGCCGCTTTCTAAAAAGGGGAACCCCTCCCTTGGACTCCTCCCACAGGCACCTAGGGAACCGTTTGAAAAAGGGGGGANCAGTTTGAAGTGGAATATGACCCAACTAACAGAAACCGTGGGATTTTTTAATAAAAGAAATTATGCCAAATTAGATATGGGGGGGATTTTGAATAAAGAATAAAAAGTGAATTCAAAATAGAAAAAAAAAGTTTTTATAAAAAAAAATGTTCTTTTTAACAAA